ATGGGGAAATTTGCTTCGGGTTGTGACCAATTCGGGGTGCGACCAGAGTCACGGAACGAATTAAGTTCGTAAACCGAGGTTCCACTGTACTTCATTTTTCCAGAGTGCAATCTCCCCAAAACTGGCCCAGTGTTTATTACCAATTTCTATGAGAACTGTAAGCTCCACTTACAAGCTATAATTACAATTCCTAACTTGGCTGTAATGGTGTGAATACATTTAAAAATAAACCAAGAGAAAACATCCTTCTGTGATGCAAAAAAGTTACACATAAGATGAGTATTTACATTACCTGAGTTATCCTTTGAATCTGATTCTGAATCAGAGGTCTCAGAGGATTCAGAGGTTTTCTCTGGCAAATGTGGAAGCTGTGCAATATCCATCGGAGTGTCCTTATATTCTGGATTGCTTAAAAGAGAAGAGATGGCCAATGTAAGCATACTTGGAGTATGATAGTTCCCTCTCCTTTTCCCCCCCAAAACTCTCAACAAGCCGCAAACAAATAGAAAGGCAACCACTCAATATCCCACCTCTCTGGGCAACTAAGAACAATTAAAAACAATAAAATACAGTAAATAGCTAAAATCAATCAAATGTAGCCATGTAATGAAAAATAATATAGTTATTGAGGTTGTTGGTTTTACTTACAGAATTTCTATCTTGGTTTTTCACTATTAAAAATAATCCTTATCTGCACATTAAAACACAACAACACAACTGCATATCTTCTTCCGGTTCTTCATGCTTGAAGCTTTGGGGAACTTTCATTAATAATACCTTAAAAGTGTATGTCTTTTTTGTTCAGGTACTATCCATCAAAACAATAAATTTCTGTTGAGTAACTAAGGATACAAATACATAAGCATCATTTTCTCTATTTCTATCTTATATTATTTATTACCATCTTCATCATATGATGATCTCATCACTTATTTTGCATAACTCACAGAGGAATTGTTATTTACAATTTTTGGACTAACATATTTGAACTGTGCCATGTTATTAATCCCAAAGTCACATTCTCCTAGCCCAGTGATACTTCCCTACAAGTAAGCATGGAAACATGAACCAAGAACATGTAACAAGATATACAGTAAAACATTTCCAAACAACTAAACCCACTACATATCCCGGAGTGTGGTGTGAATGGGCAGCAAATTTACAAATAGGTTTGAATTTGGTTTGAGCCTGCTCATTTGTGCCTCAGATGAGAACCCTGGGTTGGTTTGTTCGATGATCCATTGGTTTGTTTTCTTGGTTGTCTGTCATATTCTCAGGAGTCTTCTCCAACGCCAAAGTTCAAAAGTGTCAGTACTCTTCCTACCCTGCTTCTTCACAGTCGAACTTTTGCTTCTACAGAGTGTCACAAAGAATATCATGGCTTGCATGATTCTGATCTTTGTAGGGTTTTCTTTGGCTTTCTCAATTATCCAGTATGCATCAGAAATAATATTTCATGTTCCTTGGCTTTTTTGAAAGACAGCTTGAACATCTGGCATCTCTTTTTCCATGTAAGGCTCTAATCTGCATTGGATGATCCTAAGAATTATTTTGCTAGCATGTGAAATTAAGGCTATTATACAATAGTTTGCACACTTTGTTAAGTCTCCTTTTTTTTTTTGGTATTGGAATGTAGATTGACCTCTTGGCCATTGTGTCATTCTCCAGATTTACTGGCATAGCTTGGTTAGAACATTTACTGATCCTTCTTCTGTTGCTTGCTATATTTCTGTGGGTAATCCATCAGCTTCCAACCTGGTAATGACCAGAGTGCTGATCTAACTTCATCTTCTTATACTAGAGGTTCTTGTAAGTAGGGTATATCTTCTAAGGTATTGAATGTTGATATCTCTACTGTACAGTATCTCAGTATTTTCCTTACATCTTTGTTTGATCTCCTTTGAGTAGATTAATATCTGCCAATTGGTGTATTTTAGCATACCAGTTTGAGGTTGGAACCTCCTTCTGAGTTCAGACTGAAAGACTTCCCTTGTTTTTTCATGTTTGTTTCCATCTTCAATGTTTTTACAGAAGCTGTAATACTGCTTCTTGTCTTTTCTAACAGCTCTCTGAAACTCTTTGTTAAGTTCCTTTCTGAGATTTTTGTTTTTCTTGGCTTTGGCTTCTCTTCTTAGCAATTTCCAGAGTTTGTTCTGATACCCAGTTTGCTTCCTTCTGTTTTTTTAATTTTTGGCAGTCTCTTTTCACATTCATCCTTAACAACTTCTTTAAGTTCATTCCATAGTCAATCATTTTATATTTTCTATCCATGTGGTTTTCTTAGTACAGGAGTGGTTTACCATTGTCTTCTCCCACATAGTTTGAATTGATGCCTTTGCTATTATGATCATCTACCTCCAGCATCTTACTGTATCACTGCTGCCCAACACATGTGCCTGATTGCTTTAGCTGGGCAGCTGGAATGACCTTCATGCCTTGGGTGACCCTGCTGGGAATATATACTGTTGGCATACACTTCCAATGCTCTTTGCTCATCCCTCCCAGGAACACTCCACCCCCTGCCACAATGAGGCAGCACATTTTTTGGGGGGCGGGGTGTCATTCAACACCTAAACCCTTTTTGACAAATGCAACATATATAGCTGGTTTATGAAAAACAAACCAATGAATGTTAAATTGAATATGGAATGCGCAATCTCTGTTTTTCTTGGATTCCAGGAATAACTGCAATTGGTCTTTCTCTATCTGATGCCACTTATTTTTTCCTCTGTGGCCTACTTTTCCTTTTTTGTTCTCACCTGGCAAGTGGCTGGGGAAGAAACAGGTCAACCTTGCTGAAGATCTTCATACCTGCTTTGCCCAGAGGTTTTGAAATTTTGAAAGTGGATCAAGGCTACTCATAGCTGTAGAGTCATCAGACATGCATCTTTATTGTACAATGTGCATGACTACTGAATAGGCAGAGATCTGCCCAGTCAGAATGGAAACAGGACTTGCATGTAGGACTTGCAGTAACTTAACCCGAAATATATTTTAAGAAAAAAGAAACTAAAAACTGGAAAGGAGAGATGATGCAGACTTTTTTTTAGAGAAGGGCAAGGTTGACTGCATGAAGTACTGAACATAAGCACTGAACAATGCAGTAGACTGCTGCTGCTGCTTCAAGTCCCTCTTGTTTTTACTGGAAAACCGGTCTTCAGCTTGCAATACAGAGGCCAAACCATGGGGGAGAGAAGGACAGGATGCTCCTATGTTATCCTATGCACATACTATGGAGATGTGTAACATAGGTGGTTTATTCAAGCTGCTGGCATGGGTATGTGTGTGCTAGTCCTTAATTATTGGGAAGCAATTTCAACTCCGATTTCCATTTATCATAATGGTAGGAAGGAACTGGGCTCAAAAGCAGAGAGCCACTTGCTATGTTAATTTCTCTTCCAACAACTGCTTGGAGTACTGAATAATATGTGATTCCTTCTTTATCATCAGTTAAATCACAAGGAGACAAAACTGGAGTTACAGTCCCTTCTCCAGGAATAGAGGAAATGTGAGCTTTTTCTGAGCTCACTCCTCACATAATGACCTATCTTTTGCAAGAGGAAAGAGTAAAAAAAAAGGAATCACGTGGCCCATTTTTTCCCCCAATAATTACTTGTAAGTTCTCACTTATATTTCTCTATTTAAAATGGAAGCCTCTTAAACCCATTTAATAGAAATAAGCTTTATTTAAATCAACAAGAGTTCTGAGGACATAAGCTTAGGACCGATATGGCTCTGTGCACAATACTTTACCATTTTTATTACATAAATCCCTCTTGTTAATTTAAATAAGAAAATAATATGCTCCTTTGATTTCCATTATACAGACAATAGAACTGAGATTCAGGCATTTCTCATGAAGCATCCGGATAAAATAGGAGTCTTTCATCTCTACTGGTCACAATGTACTTCTCTGCATTCACCAAGAACTGAGTTCAGAAAGGCCCTAATGCTATATTTCTCAAGGAACAGCACACCTAATGTTCTCCTGTATACAATTCAGAGAGCTTAAAGATGATGATCTGGCATTTAATCAACATGTCTAATATATCTGGAAAGCAAAGGGGTGTGCAAATAAGAGTTTTAAGATAAATTCCACACTGAAAACTAAAACAGAGTATCTGAAACTATAAGAGATTTGACTTCTTAGCACATAGGAACATTACCTCATGCCTTTATAAAGAATCCTCTGCTTGTCAACAGCATCAAGCTAACAAAGGTTGGCTATGAACCAGCTCTGTGATTAAGCCTGATTAAGCTAAAGCTTCACCTGGATTTAGGAGAATCCAGACTCTGGCAATCTATCCTATGGCCATGTTCCTATTATTCATTAGTACACATTAATTCTAAGCAGAATCACATGGAGTTCCTTGCATTTGTTCTTACACACTGTCTTTTCAATATGTCTCCTATAGTCACAACAAAAATGCAAATAATTGAAGTGGCAAAAAGATATACCTCAGAAGGTAATTGACCCAGATGATGTTCTTTTCATTTGCATTCTTGGCATTAATAGCGATAGTGGCACTAGACTGTATCCAAATATAGCCCCCACTTTTCTGCATCCAGCGGTAGTATTTTGTAACACACTGACCCTTGTTCAGCACTGAATGGAGGAAAACAAAAGGCAAAAGGAAAATCATTGGCATTGTACTCATACGGGATTGCTCTATATTTAAAAAACCACACAACACAGGTACAGAGAGATGGAAGGGTTTTGTCCCCTATGTTTCATAGAAAGCACAATTATAAGAACAATTAAATCATTTCTGGGAGCCCTGGAAGAGTTGAAGACGCTGCCTTGATTTGTAGTTTGATTTTAATCTGCTGTTGGCAGCTCAAGTGAGCAAGGGAAAAGCAATCAGAAGCAGGATTTGCTGTGGCTCATGAAACACCAAATCTGTGGACAATTCTCTCTCTCATGTGTGTATGTATGTATGTATGTATGTGTGTGTGTGTGTGTGTATATATATATATGTATGTATGTATGTATGTATGTATGTATATATATATATATATATATATAA